ATCATGCATAACAGAACCAGTAAGCATTTCTCAACTTTTAGACAGTTAGATTTTCAGAAAAATCAGTCATTTTCTTATTCAAATAGGAGGATATTAAAGAAAATCTGTCTTTTTTATATCAGAATGACCATACTAAGACAGCACAAGCAGCTATTAATAACTTTTCAGAGGCATCTAACAGATTTTTGTTAATGGCCAAAGTATCGACCACTCCAAAGCAGCTGTAGCTGTCTTCTCTAAGAACTGCTACACTAAAGCTGATGAAGTTGTTAAATCATCATTTGGTTGGCTCTAATAATCCGTAAATAATAATTTCAAACTTCACAAATATTTTCAAAACTCCCACAAAAATAATTAAATCACATAATTCACATTCAAAATAAGAGAAAAATCATTACTTTTTAAAGCATATTTTCTACATACAAGCAATCAAATTAGTTCTTAAGAAGATGCTAAAACCACTAAAATTTGCTAAAACCACTAGAATTAATCATATCATTAAGAAAATAGGTGCTGATCAATTTAAATTCAATGGGAAAGATGAATATAATAATCAATAGGTATGTCTGTGAGCTCTCAAAAGCTGTAAGAAATTTTTTCGTGGTCCTAAATTAGTTGGAAAATTTTTCAATTTGACATATATTTTAAAAAAAAAGAAAAAAGAAGAGGAAAGGGAAAGAAAAAGGAGAAGGAAGGAAAGACGTATACCTGCACGAGAGGAGGTTGATCGAAGGGTCTTCCTCGTTGAAGATGGATGTAGGTCAACACGAAGCTGGACCTTAGCCTGCTGTAGGACTGTGGAAGTTGGAATGCCTTTGAGTGAGAGAGCACAAGGTCCGCAGCAGATGAAGCGAGAGAGAGATTCGACTTCTCTCTGGGTCGTGCGGACAAGGAGAGAGACGAGAGGGAAGAGATCTTCCGCCGACTGGGCTTGTGCTTTTCGAATCAAAGGAAATCGGAAGAGGGAAATAGATCCGTGTGTTTCGGCTTGTGGAATCCAGTGGAGATCAATGTCATGGCCAAAGAAGCGCGCGAAAGGGATAGTAACCTTCAGAACTTGCGAGCTCCGTTCCTTACTTCCGATTAAATGAAGGAGCGAAGCCGAACGAGAACGAAGGGGAGAAGTTGAACGAGAATGAAGGGGCGAAGAAGCTCTCGTGCAATCTTACACCTCCTGCGAAGAGGGAGGAGAGGAAGGTTTGGTGGCTACTAAGAAAAGGGAGAAGGAGAATAAGGGGCTGTTTGGTAGAATTTAGGATTTCATTTAAGTGGATTTCGTAAATCCTCCAAATCCCGGTTTTATGAAATCCTGAGGGGTTAAATCCTAAAAACTGTTTGGTAACATTCATGATAAATCCAGTTAAATCCTTTGTGATTGTTTGGCTATTCATTTTAGGATTTAAGGCGGTTAAAAAATTGACATACTTTATTAAGATAATTAAAGCAGTTAAAGATTTAAATTGTATGATTATCAAGATTATTAAGTTCAAATTACTAATTAATTTTTATTACACTATTAATTACCCTATTATAT